AGCAGGAATAATAAATAGATCTCGCCTATTCTTCTCACAGGGGGTTCAAACCATAATCAGGTGACAAGAGAAGAACCATAGGACAAAGCTATGTCATTATCACATAATTCCAAAGCAGGAAGCACCAAGTAACTGGGGTAGAGGAACCAGCAATTTTATGTTGCTTTTGCTATGCACATTCAATGATGAGTTTTAAAGAAAAGTCAGCCTCTCTCTCACTTTATGATATACAGACCTAAAGTTACACATAAATGATAATGACACTTAAAATGCACTTCAAACAACTCACACCTTGCTATTCTAGTTATAAATTTTTATAAGAAAATAAAAGATGACAAATTATGGCAAACTTTTTCTGAAAAGGGCTTTGCAGACCATATTTTAGGCATTTCAGATCATATGATCTCATTGAAAGTATACCATCCTTCTGTCCATAGCATGAAAGCAGACACAGACAGTATGTATATGATGGGTATGGCTGTGTCCAATAAAGTTTTATTTACAGTAACAGGCCCACAGGTCAGTTTGCCAACCCCTTCTACAAAAAACTTATTTTTACCAAGTCTGTCTTTCCTACTACAATGAGACTATACATAGAACACATCACTAAAATGGGCTGGGCAGTGTTGCTCACCTGCGACCCAACAGTCTCCTGGAAGCACCGGCCAAGCTGCGTCTTAGCAGCCACTGGATACACGTGAGGAATGACTTGCTGGTGCGAGTATGAGGAATGGACCGTCTGAGTCTTCTGGACAGGAAGCCCTTGGTAAGAGACTTGGGACTGGCCTGGTTGAGCTTCTTTTACCTTCTGGCCTGTTGGGCCATCAACTCTTGAAACCTGATGTATCTGGACTGAGGCCTCAGGAGGGTGCTTCACATGGATATTGACTATGTTAGGAGGAAATTTCACTAAAACAGATTGGGAAGAAAATTTATCAGTCATAAATAATTAATACGCACATCAGGATGAAAGTAAATGTTCATGCCAGTCAGCATGAAACTAAGTTTTATATACACACATATACTTAAGTACATATATATTATACCTGGGATAAATGATACATTTTTAGTGTGTATCTATTTTTGCTGCACAGCCATTAAGAAACTCTTGAGAGTAAAAGGGGACATTCAAAAATTAAACCTGAATTTATATACTTTAAAGAATAAAACTGCTTTTACAAAGAGAAATTTAAACTTCTCACAGTAACAGATCCATGAGACAAAAATTTTCTTCAGAGGAGTCATAAAACTACGAAATTTGTGCTACTTGTGGTCATACATTCTATCAAACAAGAGTAATAAAGACTCAAGAGTTTGATTATTTTTGAATTTCTCACAAAGTTCCCATCGTAGAGACTGTAAGATTTACAACACACTTTCACAAAGCATAGTTCTCTCACCCTTAAACCTGGTGTGTACATACTTTTGTGCTTCCTGTGACACACACAAAATACCAAAGTGTGATATTTTACATCTCTATTTTCTTTCTCTGCAGCTTTCAGACAGAATTTCATCTTCTGATGCTAAGATTCAGGTTTTAAAGAATAAGAGCCAGTAACACTTCTCTGACTCCTTTTTTAAAACTTGTTCATGTGTAAGAGGTGCCAGGTTGAAAAGAATGAATGAGTCATAGAATTTCTGAGCTCCAAGTGCCAGATGAATAAACTGAAGCCCAGGGAGGTGAGGTTACAGATTGTTTAGAACTAAAACCAAGAGCTCTTCGACTACAAAATAGACTTAGTGTTCATCAGCAGGTACTGTGTGATCTACTAGTTTATTAATCCCATAAGGGCCAGAACACCATCTTGTTCATCTTTCCATTTCCCAGGACCTACCAGAACAGTGCCATGTATGTTTATCAGCTCTTGGTCCTGCATCACCAGAGAAAGATGGGCTCCATTTTCTAATTTCCTAGATACCATTCCCTATAGCCTAGAAAGCACTGGCACCATATACCTGGGCCCATATTCTGTTCCAATACCAGCCCTGCAGACACTTGGCTTCTGTATGGGTTTGGCACATTAACAGAGTTCTGATGAATGGGAAAAATCAAAATAATCAGCTTACCTTTGACTCCTTGCTGGCTGGTCATGGTCAGAGGCAAAGTATGTGTTGAGTGGACAACATGTGTTCCCAACGCCTTGCCTGACTGCTGGGAATTCTGATAAAGTTTAGGCACGCCAGCACCATGGACTGGAATCTGACAAAGCTTCCCTGTGAAATTTGGAGGGCACTGGCATTTGTCCCTTGAACTGCATTGGCCTCCATTCATACATGGAAGATGGCAAATTACTGTAAAGGAAAAGAGAAAATGTGGAGAGTTGGTTAGTTTCTCAAATGCTAAGTAACAATCAACCAACAAAACTCCCCCAAAGCACAGCCATCATATTCCCAATGACTTTAGAAATGGTAAACAAAGGAGTATACACTATGACAAAAATACTTCCTTTTTTTTTTTTTTTACTATCTTTTTCTTTCCACCTTAAGTAAGTCATTTAGCTCTCCAATTGCTTGTGGTTGTTCACCCACAATGGTGGTAAGAATTCATGGGAAAAAATATACATGTATATTTATACGTATAATATATATATTACATATATTTATACATATAAAGCTACTTTATATAAAGTAGCCACTCAGGATATCTCTTGCATTCTATAATTACTGTGTTTTCCTATTTAATTACTAGTTTATTTACTGTCTCCCTAGATTATAAACTCCTTGGGGGAAAGGAATATGCCTTGTATCCTCAGCACCTAGAATAATGCCTGGCACACAGTGGACATTAAATATTTCCTCAAAGAATAAACAAATGAGAGTGCTAAAAATAATATCTGTTGAGAATTTTCTCTACGTAAGACACTGAAATAAGTGCTACCCAGAATAAGGGAGCAGAATAGTTTGAATCCTGCTTTACAGGAATTTGCAATCTCACTGGGATAACAAGACCACAGCGAAACCTAGAAGTAGCAGTGATTAATAGTTGGAAATTTATTTAGAATACCGAAAGATAAAAGGACATGTTTGGATAAAATTTTAAAAGGAGTTTTAAATCCTGGCTAAATTCAACTTCAGGCCAACCTATTTATCACAAATGAATTCTTCCTATCAGCCTTTGAACTGATCGGATTTCCAGCAGCTTAAAAAATAGCCCCTCAACTCCATTTTCTTCCAGCTTCCACTCTGCTTCAATCCTCTCCTCCACGACCAAACTTTCCAAAAGAATTGTCTGCTCACTTCTCCATTCACTACCAGCCAGCCAGGGTCACGTTGTGTTTCCCTTTCCCCACACCTCTGCTACGCTGAAACTCCTCTTACTCAGGTCACTAATGGTCTCCATGTTGCTAAATCCAATGGATGGATTTCAGTCTTCCCTTGGCTTCTGTGACATCTCAACCCATCTAGTTTGCTCTTTCCTCTTTGTTCACTGTATCTTAATATTCTTTGCAGACTCCACTCTTTTC